ACTCTTTCGTTTTCATCTCATTTGGCCTTGCACATTATTTTCATTTCATCATTCGGCTTACTAGTCAATCACAGACCCCACCATTTTGTTTATTTCTGAATATTTGAATATCCTTTATTGTCACATACATTCAAAATAAAATGCAGTGAAAACTATGCACCGTCACTCGTACATGAGTGCCATTCACAGAATAAAGACAGATAACTTAAAGAGAGTCCAACTTTCCTATGCCGCCGAGAGTGTCCTGCTCTGGGCTACACCAGTCCATGCCATGCCGCTTTCGGTGACCTACTCCATGTGGGAAATGAGAGCCCTGTTTTTGTTATAATTCATTGCAACTCACCATCACTTTTGCAAGGGCCACTAGGGGTGGGCAATAAATGCAGCTCAGCCCCATGCAGGTGTGAAGAATGCCCTAGAGAAAATCTACACTGCCACAAACACTCCAGAGACAAAATTCCCCGCAGCCCTACTCATCATGGCTGGCAACTTCAACCAAGCTAACCTCAAGATGTTGCTGCCAGCGTACCTCCAACACATCTCCTGCCCCACCAGAGGGCTGAACCACTGCTGCACAACCAAAGACGCCAACCACTCCACCCCCCACCCACACTTGAGAAAATCGGATCATAGCACTGTGTTCCTCCTCCCAGCTTACAAGCAGGAGGTGAAACTGGAGGACCCTTCACAAGAAGTAGTACAATGCTGGTCCGACGCAGCAGAGAACTGTCTCCGGGACTGCTTGAAATCAGTGGACTGGACCATATTCAAGTACTCAGCGGAAAACCTGGACAGGTACGCCACACCATAACAGACTTCATTAGTAAGTGCGTGGAGGACTGCGTACCAAGGAAGTCAATTCCAGTGTTACCCAACCAGAAACTTTAGATGAACCAGGAAATCCATTCCCGACTGAAGACCGGACATGCAGCATTCAAGTCAGACAATCCAGACCTACATAGGAGATCCAGATATGATCTCCTCAAAGCCATCAGGGATGCCAAAAGGCAGTACCAGACCAAGTTAGAGGCCCAAAACAACCAGACTCTTGTAGCCTGTGGCAAGGCCTAAACAGCATTATGAGATACAAAATGAAACCAAGAAAGATAGCGGACAAAGACACATCCCTCTCTGATGCACTTGATGCTTTCTATGCTCGATTCAAGCAGAATGCCAGTGGCGCAGCGTCACTTGCCCCGACAGCACCAGATGTACCTGTGCCTACTGTCACCACTGTAGATGTCAGATCAGTCTTCCTGAGAGTCAACGCAAGGAAAGCAACAGGCCTGGACAGTCCCCGGAACAGCACTTCGATCCTGTGCAGACCAACTGGCAGAGGTATTCACCGACATCTTCAACCTCTCCCTTCTACAAGCTGAAGTCCCCACCTGCTTCAAGACCACCATCATCCCAGAAAGCACATGCAGTGTGCCTTAAATGACTGCCACCCAGTGGCTGTGACCTCAATAACCATGAAGTGCTTGAAAGGCTGGTCATGGCCCACATCAACTCTTGTCTCCCAGCCTGCCCTGATACCCTAAAATTTGCCTACCAACGTAACAGGTCCACAGTGAAACCATTTCACCAGCCCTGCACTCATCTCTGGAACATCTGGACAACAAGGATACCTACTTCAGCCTCCTGCTCATTGAAGGCGGAGCTGTAGTCAACACCATTATCTACAACCTCATCCACAAAATGAGCTACAAATCTTCTCAAAAACTTTAAACCTTTATCCCTTCCAGACTGATCTCCAAACTGCGAGACCTTGGTCTCAGCTCCACCTTTTGCAACTGTATCCTCAGCTTTCGGACCCACAGGTCGCAGTGAAGGTAAACAACTGCACCTCCTCCACAATAAGCCTCAACACCGGCGAACCACACCCCCACCACGGATACATGCTCAGCCCCCTACTGTACTTCCTATACATCCATGACTGTGGTGCTAAATTCCAAATGAATGCTATCTACAAGTTTGCTGATGACACAACCGTGGTAGGATGGGTACCGAACAATAACGAGTCAGAATACAGAAAGGAGATAAAGGGTTTGGTAACGTGGTGCAATGAAAACAACCTCTCTCTCAACGTCGGCAAAACTCAAAAACTGATCATTGACGTCAGAAAGAAACGAGGAGGAGAACACACCCCCACCTACATCAACAGAGCTGAGATTGAGACGGTGGAGAGCGTCAAGTTCTATGAGTGATGACAACTGACAACCTGTCCTGGACTTCCCACATAGATGCGATGGTCAAGGCGAACAACCATGCCTCTTCTTCAGCCAGCCAGCTCAGGAAATTTGGCATATCCATAAAGTTCCTCACCAAATTTTACAGATGCTCAATTGAAAGCATACTGTCTGGGTGCGTAATGGCCTGGTATGGCAACTGCTCTGCCCAAGATCATAAGAAACTACAGAAGGTTGTCTGCACAGACCAGACCATCACGGAAGCCAACCTTCCATTCATGGACCCCATTTACCCAGCTCGATGCTGCAGAAAAGCTGCCAACATCAAAGGCTCATCGCACTCTGGTAATGCTCTCCTAAAACCTCTTCTGTTAGGCAGAGGATACAGACGCTTGAACACACACACCAGCAGGTTCAGGAACAGCTTCTTCCCGGCTGTTATTAGACTGATGAATGGACTCTCTAACTTCAAATAATGCTGATCCTGCTAATGTTGATCTTGCCTAGCGCACACCCTGTGCTACATAACCTGTATGCCTCTAAGACATTTTTTTAAGCCTGTGATCTGTATGCCCTTGTATACTATGATCTGCCTGTACTGCTCAAACAAATCAATGCCCACATCCCATAAGTGAATTAAAAAAACTGATTAATTTGTATCTTAGAGAAAAATAATAGATACCATACAATTAGCAGAATGTTACATGGAAAGGTGATATTACAAGCAGCTTAGACTCTAGTAGTTTCCTTCAATCCTATCAAGGACACAAATCTCTTAAAGACTGAAGCAGTCCATGTTCAAATGCAACAAGATGTGGAGAATATACAGACTTGGGCAGGTAACATTCACACCACAAAAACGTCAGGCATTGACCATCTCACCACCACCCCTTGACATTCAATGGTGTTACCAAACTTCATCCCTTTGAATTCAAGGCCTCTTAAGATAATGCAAATGTCATCCATGTGACTTTTAGTGTAAAATCTGAAGTAAAATGCAATCCACGACCCATATGGGAAATTATATCCATTTGTCTCATATTAAAAACAAAGAAAACAAGTTTTAGTTCAGATGAGGAACTGTTATAGTGAGTGATATTTTACGAAGAGGTTAACTTTACGGAGTGGAAAAGTAGTAATGCACAAAGACAGGTCTTGATTCCAGATGCTTTTGACTTCATTAGTTTAATGGGCTTGAATGTGGGCTATCTATAATAATAGCTCTCAGTAAACATTATTTAGCAATCGTTTTGAGGCAAGGTATAATAAATACTTTTCTTTCCGAAAGTGGTAAGGCAAATGTTATTTATTTTGGGACACGTCAGGATTTACGTTACAATAGTTCTTTTCCTGTGCAGCTGTGTTGCACGTAACATCCCTAGTGTCTGCCAACCAACTAGGAAGTATTTCTTAAAATGGACTAAAAGAGAATGGCAAAAGCTTCAGGGCACAATAAAAGAATCAAAAGTTGTAGTTTCTTAAATTGTAACTGTAAAAATTATGTAGAACCATACATTTACTAAAGTCTCACATTAAAACTATGTTACATTTTTGAACTTTAAAAACTCAAAATAGAAGGCTGTCATAGCTAATATGTTTTCTCCACATATGTACAAAGTTAGATGACATTAACCAGGCAGTTACTACCCTTTTCGCTGAATATTCAGAGTTAAATTTAATCTCGCATCCATTTTGCAGCATCCCTCTGTCTTTCCAATTTACAGCCTTCCTCTGCTCCCTACAGCAGCCTCTCTCATTCTCTTTTCTCTCCACCTTTGCAGCCTTCCGCTCTATCCTCCCAATACTTAACTCTTTGGCAGCCCCCTTCTCTTCGCGCCTCACTTTGCAGCCTGTCCTTCCCCTCAACCCTTGCAGTCTTCCTCTCTTTCTCCCCTCTACCTTGCAGCCTCCAGCTCTTACTACCATCCTCTTTGCAGCTTCCATCTAGTGCTCCCACTCCAAACATTCTCACCCCACCTGCAGCCTTCCAATTGATTGGCCACCATCCATCCAACCTCCACCTCACCCCTACAGCTTCCCCACCTCATCTATCCACCATCCTCCTGCTGTATCTTCTCCTTCTATTCATTCTTCCATTCCCATCTCAGCAGCCTACACCTCTTTCCTCCCCCAACCCCTACAACTACCCTATCTTCAAACTATGCAATCATTCTCTTCCTCTTGACCCTTGCAGCTTCCCATTACTCTGTTCACCACGACTAAAGCCTCATGACACCAGCCACTCCAACTCATGCCTCAATCTCTGCAAGCACCTCCCCATCACCATTTAACTTCTCACTATTCCTCCAATCATAGGTTCAGTAATGAGCCTCAGAGCAATAAGTTCAGTACAGAACCAGTGACTGAAAAAGGAGGCTTAAAGATTCTATCCATTTAACTCTCAGCAGCATTACGATTGAATTTTCTAGGTATTTTGGGTAAATTTTCCCTCTGACCACATAGCAGCACTCAAAACACCTGGGAGTAAAGAGCCAGACCCCAGTGATCACCATCAATTACACTCATTCTCAGGCCTTGGTGCTACCAGTACATCATACAATCTGAAATACTCAAGGCAGCGCATAAAACCTTTCAGGAGAAGTCTGAAGGAATAACTTTTGGAATAGTTCTATTCCCTTTTAATAAATCATATAGATTTGGAAAGCAATTGTGTTCTGCATACATTTTGGTGCACAAAAAGCTCACGATTAAGGCAAGTTTCTTTATATCACTTCACAACTTCTATCTTGCCTTAAATCTGTTTGCCACTTGACAAAGCATTAGTCATTCTTTTGGATAACGAACACTTACACTTGTAACTTTCCGATAGATCTGGGCAGCATTCTGACATTCTGAGTATGGGTATTCTGAGGTAGCCATTTCTAACATACACATTCCAAAAGCGTATACATCCACAGATTCATCATAATGCTCTTCATACATTTCTGGAGCCATGAATTCTGGCGTACCTGAAGACAGTTAAAAACAAACGTAATAGTCCCAAACAATGAAAGAACTGTTAACTCTCAAAATCATGAAAAGGGAACCTTAGACTGTGGAGTCATGATTGCTGACTGCACTGTAACTTTGATAAATTATGTACAGTCAATAACTGTAAATATACATTAAACACAAGTTCATTGCTTATATTAGACATAAACAATAGAGTAAATCTTTAAAGAATTCCTTGTTCAACAGAAAGCAGAACAACGGACTTAATAAAACTAGCTTAATCTATGTAAGAATCCTCCAATTTCTAAAAAAGCAAAATGATCAATTCTCAGGATACAGCATAACTACAGAACAAGATGGCTTCCATATTTTGTCAAAAACACAAGAATCACTGAAGACTACACTCATTCATTTCAGTTCTGTAATCTGTGGCCCTTTCCAAGGTTCTGATGACAGGGGTAGAGTAGTTTCAGTTCCTGATTAGAGCGGGTGTAGGAGTTCAGATGGAAATGATAGAAATAATTTACTGCAAATAGTCTTCTTTTTAAAAAAAAACAGACCTGCTCTTTGCGTCGTTTATTTTTGGCAGCAGCAATCAGGGCTCACCCTGATCACACTCACCAACAAAAAAAGATGAAGGGGACTTAAAAGGTCTCCTAGATGTAGCATTCAGTCCAAGATCCACAACAGCCTGCTGCCTCACACCCCAGCACCCAAGTATACTGGAATATTGCATACAATTCTGGTCGCCCTTCTGTCAGAAGGATGTTGTTAAATTTGAGAGGGTACAGAAAAGATTTGCAAGGATGTTGTTGGGATGGGAGGGTTTGAGCTATAGGGAGGGGCTGAATAGGCTAGGGGTATTTTTTTCCACTGGAGTGTCGGAAACTAAGGGGTGACCTTATAGAGGGTTATAAAATCTGGAGGGGTGCGGATATGATCAACAGCCAAGGTCTTTTTCCTCGGGTGGGCGAGTCCAGAACTAGAGGGCAGAGCTTTAAGGTGGGAAAGGAAAGATTTACAAAGGACCTGAGGGTAACTTTTTCACGCAGAGGGTGGTGAGTCTATGGAACAAGCTGCCAGAGGAAGTGGTGGAGGCTACCTTCAAAACATCAATGAGATCGACACATTCTATGCCTACTTCCTGCTCATCCTCTGCTATCAGTAAATCTTTAATCAACACGGGTTGTACATTTTTTGACAAATTAACAGATGTATAATATTCTAAACTAATACTTAAAGTTAGTAAACTAATCAGAAAATTCCCTATAAATGGTCAACTGCTTATACTGAATAATGGTGGTCACTAACCCCCAAAATCTAACAAAGGGCACAGATTCTGCAAAGGGACATAGGTATGTTAAGTAAGAGGCACAAAGTTAGCAGGTGGAATAAAATGAGGGGAAATTAGGTTGTTCACTTTGGCAGAAAAAAAAAGCTTTTTTTTTTTAAAATCACAAGAAACCATTAAATACTGGCATTAAAAAAGCTATTTTTCAAGTTAAGAACGTAAGAACCAAGAGCAGGTGTAGGCCATCTGGCCTTTTGAGCCTGCTCTGCCATTCAATAAAATCATGGATGATCTTTTCATGGCCTCAGTTCCACTTACCCAACCCCTCACCATAACCCTTAATTCCTTTACTATTCAAAAAATCTTAGCTTTAAGAACATTCAATGAGGAAGCCTCAACTATTCACTGGGCAGGGAATTCCACAGATTCACAATCAAGCCGGCTGCTTTGTCCTGGATGGTGTCAAGCTTAAGTATTGGGCCTGCACTCATCCAGGCAAGTGGGGAGCATTCCACCACACTGCTGACTTGTGCCTTGTAGATGGTGGACAGGCTTTGGGGAGTCAGGTGGTGAGTCGCTCGTCGCAGTATTCCGAGCTTCTGGCCTGCTCTTGAAGCCACTGTGTTATTGTGGTAACTCCAATTGAGTTTCTGGTCAATGATAACTTCCAGGAGTTTGATAGTGAGGGATTCAGTGATGGTAACACCAATTGAATGTTAAGGGACAGTGATTTAATTGTATCTTGTCGAATGTCTTTTGGAAATCCAGATCCACATCTACTAGGTCCCCATTGTCCACCGTGCTTGTAATGTCTTCATAGAATTCCAGCAAATGAGTCAAGCATGACCTGTCTTTCATGAACCCATGCTGAGTCAATGGGCCAATTTCTACCTAGGTGTCTTGCTATTTCTTCCTTGATGATAGATTCAAGCATTTTTCCCACAACAGAAGTTAAGCTAACCAGCCTATAATTCCCCATCTTTGCTATACCTCCTTTTTTGAACAGTCACGTCATATTGGCTGTTTTCCAATCTGCTGGAACATGCAAACAAAGCAAGCAATTAGAAATGCCTTTACCTAGACCACATCTGGACTATATAGAATTTTAAATAAAGATATACTTGTCTTAAAGGGTGCAAGAGCAGTTTAATAGATTGACTCCTTGATGAGAGGATTGCCTATGAGGAGGCTGAGTAGAACGGACTTCTAGTGTGTGGTTTCCAAGAATGAGTAACAATTTTATTTAAAATGTACAACTTTCTAAGAAGGTTTAATAACATAGATTCTGCAAGACAATTTCCACTGTCTGGACAATATATAACTAGGAGCAGTATCTCAGGATAAGGGAACTTGCTTTTTGGTTTGAAATAGGCAGAGATTTCTTCTCAGGTTTGTGACTTTTTTGAACTGTCTATCCCCAGAGGGGTAAGAATGCTCATTTGCTGTGAATATAAGATCTACAATTTTTTTTTTCATTATCTTAGATCAGGTAAGAAAGTGGTTTTGAGATTAAGGTTCAGTCTGATCATAAACAGCTGGGCAGGCTTCAGGGATCGTATGTCATACACCTTTGTTTATTTTATGTAACATAACAAATTTGAAGGAATTGTCAGGTATTTACCTATAACACTTTTGGCAAAAGAGGCACGCTTTAGAGTTGCAAGACCCAAATCTCCTATCTTCACTGATCCCGTGGGCCCAGTAATAAAAATATTATCACATTTTAAATCCCGGTGAATAATCGGTGGAGTTCTCGTGTGTAGAAAATATAACCCTTTCAATATCTGCCGACACCAGCTTCGCATTACTTTTGTTTTCATCACTTTAAATCTTTTTAAATATCTGCAAATACAAAAATATTATACACAGATTTAATTACATGCACAATCAAGATTAAAATAGCAACTGTAAACATTTCAGGAATATTTGAAACATAATTTAAAGCTATGCATGATAAAGCAATTGTAATAAATATTATAGAACATGATTTTTGAAAAATATATTTGTACCCAGGATGCGGACATCACTGCTAAGGCCAACATTGACTGCCTAGCCCTAAATGCCCTCAAGAAAGCAGTGGGAAGTATAGTGACTATAACTGAATGGGTTTCTACGCCATTTCAAAGGGTAGCCAGAATAAAGCACACTGCTGTGGATCTGGACTCTCATGTAGGTCAAGTAAGAACTGCAAATTTCCTTTCGTTAAAAATGATATTAATGCACCAAACCGATTGTTATATGACAATCCGATAACTCAATGGGGCTGAACTTTTCCAGTCTGGAGTCAAGACACCAATGTTGAATGCTTTCCCCAGTCCCTATACCATGTTGCGCTGGAGCTTGATGCTCAACAAGGTTTTAAAGACGGCAGTCCAGCTCCAGTGGCTGAAGATGCATTAGGAAACCAGTAGGGGTGAGTTGCTGCCAATTTAAGAAAAGAGCAAACAATATGGAAATGCCCTTTGAAGTTTCTTAAATTCAAAACAATCACAGCTGCCAGGTCATTGTCATGGATGGTCATCTCCCTTACTGGATGATCAATGGTTGCAGTTGTATTCCAATGGCTATGGTGAATGCTGCAGTTCGCCTACCTGGATGCAGTGTTAGCCACTCCTCTGCCGGAGGTCACCCCAATCTGGCAATTCATGTCCTAGCATCAACAGGGCTATCATACAAACTGGCTGTCATCCCCAAATTTCCCGACCTCCACTTGGTTCTTCTATAGTGAAAACTCTTGGCAGGTGACCAGCTTGCCAGCCTAGCCACCTCTCTGAGCAAACAAAAATTCTGCAGATATAGATTCACCAGTACTTATACAAACTGTTATATTCCAGATAATTATAGAGTCATAGAAATGTACAGCACGGAAACAGATCCTTCGGTCCAACTCATTCATGCCTACCAGATATCCTAAATTAATCTAGTCCCATTTGCCAGCGTTTGGCCCATGTCCCTCTAACTCTTCCTATTCATATACCTACCCAGATGTCTTTAAAATGCTGTAATCGTACCAGCTTCCACCACACCACCCTCTGCATGAAAAAGTTGCCTTGGGTCCCTTTTAAATCTTTCACCTTGAACCTATGTCTCATAATTTTATAAACTACTATAAGGTCACCCCTCAGTCTCTGAACCTCCAGGGAAAACAGCCCCAATCTATTCAGCCTCTCCCTATAGCTCAAACTCTCCAACCCTGGCAACATCTTGTAAATGTTTTCTGAGCCCTTTCAATTTTCACAACATCTTTCCTATAGCAGGGAGACCAGAACTGAACTGATGTGGTGGTCTCTGGAATATTACTCCAGGTCTCCAGATTATGAGTTCAGTGGCATAATTTATGGCACCATATTAGATAAAATCATTCAATTCACATGAAAGTTTGTTAAATCAAAAATAACTGAAACATTCCCAACTCTGAATTTCACCAGTAAACCAGTAAAGCCTTACAAAACCAAAATTCAAACTGATACAGGATTGCATAAGTGTTGCACATTACATCATCAAGGCTTATAAGCCAGTGCAAAAAGGTAATTTGGGGAGGGCAATGAAAGCTGTCCAGGTAACGGCACCCTCACATCCCTAAAAAGGTAACAGAACATAGCAAAGATTTAATAAGCCAGAGTCATTTGTATGCTTCAAATATATCAGCTTTGCCCTTCAGCAGCTAGAGACAAGTTCAATTCCTTGCTTGTATCAAGTCAGCTGATCAGACATGAGGTAGCAAGTGGCTCCCAACAACAAGCTTTTGCAGTTTTGGGCTAGAAAAGGGATACCCAAGATGGACCATCTGTACCCTTGGAAGTGTACTCCAGTAAATTGAAGAAAGGCTTGACAAAACTGGAAAACATATTCATAACAATTTAACATTTTAGTTACTTAATATATTTGTATTTTTCTTTAATAATACTTTAGCATAGGGATAAAGTGCCAAAAGATTTTTTTTTGCTCGCATGAATCTAGAAGTTTAGCTTAGGTAAATATTTTTGGTCAAGAGAAATATTTAGCTGCTAAGTCTTCACTGTGGATTTGACAATTACTATTTTTGTTTCATATGAGCAGAATCAAAAAGGGCCCACTGCTAGATGTCAAATCACCGATTATCCTTTGGCCCACAATGGTAAGTTATATACTGTACTAACAAATGCTCCCTCTGCAATCACACCACAAATTCTGACTACTGTCATCTGCACTCTTGGTAATTATTATGGTTGATTAATTACTTTACCTAACATATTGTAACACTGCATCCAGAACTGAGTTTGGGGGTTCACTGGCTAGAATGTTCATGTATTGTTTAGTTGCTTCTGTCCATGGACCACAAATATTTCTCTAATGTGCAGCCTCTATTTTTACCCATAGAGTTTTATTTACATTTCAAACGTACTACACTCCAGAGGTCATTATTTTCTATTTCAGTTTAAATAACATTTGCTGTTCATTAGAATAGTAAAACATCACACCTCAATCATCTCTCATTACTGAAACAGATACCATAGACAGAATTTAGCAGAATACTGCCACATTTAACTTTGTAATTGAAGGAGGAACGAAAGAAATATTTAAAAGCTACTTAGAGAAATAGTTAATAATACTGAGGATGCTCAAAATCTGAAATTGAAATAGTGTTAGAAATGCTTAGCTAATGCAACAATGGTCAAGAGAGAAGGTAGTGCCAGACCTGCTGCATATTTCCAACATTTATTGTAGAAAAATTCTGGATCAATGCACAAACGTATGGATTGTGGCATTTCAGAATTCATTTAGAAAAATGGAAGTGTTCAACTTTACTAAATAAGTCCTAAAGCAGAGATAATAATGACCAAATTCTGATTCCTTCCTGCTTTGGTGCAGGATTCACAGGTATCCATCACCTTTTCCCTTTCCTTCTTTTGTTGGCCAGCAAGAGCAAGATAGAGAAACAGCCTGCAACTCAGAAGCAGAAATTATGGTACAATCAGGCAATTACACTTTCAACATTATATGAACTAGATCATTCTAGAAAACTTGGAGAAAACACTCCAAAACAATTAGTGCCCTTAAAGAATTTTCAATTTAAAGATATTTGCCATTAGATTTCCAGAATGAAACCCAATTTTCCAATTTGAAGAAAGATCCATCTTTTTAATTCCAAAAATTACATTTAACCAATGGAGTGTCACATTTAATTGCACTGTGAATGAAGATCAAATCCAGTATTGAGATGAAATTAGTAAGAAAGGAATGAGATCACAAAATTCAAGTGGTAAAGGATAAAGAAAAAATGAAATTAACTGGGGTAACAGTGCATGGGAGAGAAGTTAACTAGCACTGGCGCAGAGGTCAATTTTCCTTTCAGTTTACACAGGAAGCTATATTGTACCATCAACCAACTGTGGCTTTCACAGGTGGAAAGGAATAGGAGACAGGACAGCAGACAGCATTTGTTTCCACTACAGAGTGGGGTGGATACTGAATTTCTTCTGTAAGAGGCTGATGAAAAAAGTAGTGGGAGATGTGTTCATATACACACTGCATCTCAGCTAGCATATCAACTACAGGCATGAGTTCAGCTTCTCCATCAACATTGACAACAACATCAAGCTTTAGCTCTCCACCATCTCACTTGGTTCTTCTACTGCTCAAGTTGAGACTACTTGCCCACTTATATATCTTAACTTCAGTTAAATATTGGCAAGATTAAAATCAAATAAGATTTGAAATTTTGCCACTAATTCCATGCTCTTCCCACAAGTGCCGACTCATGCTGATCCAGATTATTTTCAAGCCCTTATTCAACCACAAAAGGACCTTTGTTCCTTTATCCTGTCCGTAGTAAAAGCACCAAACTTTACCTTTGTACCATCACTCACCTCAACTATTATCTCAGCCAATCTGATGTAGAAAGCTTCATATATGCCTCTTATCTTCAGACTGATCGGTTCCAATGTTGCCAAACAGGATCTCAGACTCCTCTTGATAACCTTTTGCTTATCCAAAACTCTGCTGCCTGAATTATAATCCTACACCAATTCTGCTTACCCATCATCCCAGCTCTTGATCACCTGAACTGGATCCAGGTTCCTCTTTTAATTAAGTAGTCTTTTAACTACTGAAGTGTCTAAGGCCATGTCCTTCCTGTTGCTGCAGCTTCCTCAAGTCCTTAGAACACCACCATGCCATTCACCAATTCTCAATCTCCATTCCTTTGACTGTGGCTCCTTGACAACTTTCTTACCATGGACATCATGCTTTAGGTCGCAGATCTACTTGCTCTGGAATTTCCCCATAAACACCTTCACTTCTTCTCCTCCCTTAAGATTCTAAACAACTATCCTTGTTCAACCTTTTGATCATCCCTAACATCTCACTTTCTGGCTTAAAATCCTTTTTCAGATTATAACTGTTTGAAATACATCCAAAGCTTTTCTATGTTAAGAGCACTACATAGATACAATTTACTTTTTCCTAGTTTTATCTAGTTCTACCCCATGACAGCTAAGTTTATTCACGACAAGTGAAGTGAAAATTGAGGGTGGAATTTCTCAAAAAAGACAGTCTTATCATGGGGAAAAGGGGTCAAGATCACCCCTGTCCTAGATGTAGGTAAGGCAATAGGGCAAGTATTTTAAGTCTTCACTTGTAGTGTGGTGTGGCAAGACTAGTTTGCCTTTCATCAGACGTCAGGAGGATCAAATTTCTTCCCTGTGCAGTGATCAGCGAATTTCAGCTAATCAAGAAAAGTGTTTACTTTCTGGATTTCTACACCAGACAAATGGTCTGCAGGATTCAGTTCTGGAGGACAGGGCTGTCATGGGCAAGACTTCCCTTTATACGGAAGGGCATGTGTAATATACAACTCATTTCACTATTTTACGATAATTAATACAGGCTGATCAGCTCATCTACAACAAAAACCGAAAGAACTGCGGATGCTATAAATCAGAAACAAAAACAAAGTTGTTGGAAAAGCCCAGCAGGTCTGGCAGCATCCGTGAAGGAAAAAACAGAGGTAACGTTTCAGGTCCGGTGACTCTTCTTCAGAACAGTTCCTCAATTCTGAGGAAGGGTCACCGGACCCAAAACTTTACCTCTGTTTTTTCCTTCACAGATGCTGCCAGACTTGCTGGGCTTTTCCAGCAACTTCGTTTTTGTAGCTTATCTACAACACTGGGAAACTCAGCTTATTGGTTAATATTTGCTTTTCTGATCTCAATTTCATCCCCACTAAACGGTTTTTGATCTGTTCATATAATGGAACATAATCTTAGAGGTCTCTAAATGTGAATTTTTTTTTGAGATCCATAGAATTTCACGTTTGTTAAGGGTGACTGCCATGTTGCATTAGCCTTTAGTAACTAAATAGTAACTTTGCAAGTATGAAGTTACATCTCCTGCAGGTGCAGTATCTTTAGAATCTCAAATTGACTCAATATTTGAGTGTGTATCGGGGTTTAGTTCTACTAATTAGCTTGGAAAAATAGATGACCATTTTAAGTTTAAACAATTTCACTTCCATTGAGAATCACCTGCTTTCTGAGGTGATAACTTATTTTAAAAATCTGCAATTATCATATTTATTTTTACCACCAAAACAAATGCAAATGTTTTAGAATACTTACGTTTTCAATGTTCCCGAGGTCATTAATTCAGTAACTAAAACAATGCATTTTTTCCCTTTCAGAGTACTTTCCCAAGAATCATAAAATCGAACAATATTGGGATGTTGCAAGCCTTTAAGCATTTCTGCCTCCTCTCGGAATCGCTGACGCTCTGCCTTTGCAAGTTTTCTGTCCTGTGTAGAAAGTTACAAAAGAAATTTGAAAATCTAATTATAAATTGAGAAATAGACAACTAATGTTTTAACAAGACTCTGATTAATTTGTTTAAAAAAATAAAACTAAATTGTTTTACAGCACATATACTAATTATGCTAAGACTATGAAGATCAATTGCATACAATTTTGTTACTTCAAATGGAACAATTTTGTTTCTGGTTCTCATGGTGTTCACACTGTAGCTGCCAGCCTGAAAGTAGTTGCTGCAGTACAGGTTTGCTCACATTATCTAGTTGAAATTCACATTACATTATGTAGGCAGGAATTATATGTATGGATTTACACGCCATGGTCAGCAAGAGCTGTAAACCACTGTACATCAATATTAAAGCTTTATGGTAAATGCATATTTAAATATTCTGAACAAACCGTGTCCCACAATCTAGAAACTGTGACTTTTGATAAACTGTGCTTAATGTGATTGTGCCGCCAGAAATACAAATGATCTTTAACATACAAATTCAGAGAGTACCAATTCCATAAATATATTTAATCAATACCCATAATTAACTCGCCCCAGTTATCCAAAGTTGAATTTATTAAGGTTGAATTTCCAAATACCACTTTCAGTACCAGCATTATATTATGTTATATATTGTATATACACATTATAAAAAGGTACATTTCAAGCATTGCAAAAATGCTGAATTGTCTGTACGGGCAGATTTTCTAATAAATTCCAGAACTGCTGAAAACACAAACTTTTCAAAGTTTGCTAGTTCTTTACAAGATTTTAATTAACATTGGAAAGATATTGCTTTTTTTTTTACATTTTGTGCTATATCCAACAGAAAGTTCAGCTAACACAAACGGAGCTTGCCATCAGTGCAATGAATTTCCAGTATTCGATGATGCTTTTCCTGCCTTTTTACAATGTCTCCTCTGTTTTGAGGAATCTAATTTTGCCTTCTGTGCTGAGAAGACTTTCAAGCTACCAAACTTCTTTAAAGTTATTTTTCAATCAGTATTCTGGTTTTCAGAGTCAAAAACTAAATTTAAAATTTTTGACACCCTTTTCTTATTGAAGAAGTTTGACCAGTTATATGATGGATTTTATGACAAGGATTTGTTAGACATCATGAATTTGTAAGGAACAAATTGTACAATCAATCTGACCTTAAATAAGAGTGTCAGCACAAGTTGACGGTACCCTACAATAACTATTTATTTTAGTACAATATCTTCTCAATTCATAGACAGACAGACAGACAATCTTAGGTGTCAATTGTATATAATTGAAGATCCTAGAGATTACAGAAATAGCTATTTCTTTTTCAGCTTTTCAACAACACTCAACTTTGCTTTCCTACCATTCAGTAGGGCATTTTCAGGGCTACTCCCTTGCACTCTTTACACTAGCAGGATTTTCCATTTTTCTCATTCACAAGATGTGGGCATCACTGAACATTTATTGCCTACCCCAGTTAAAAGCCAACCACACTAACGAACGCTGTACATTAAATAAAAGAACTCCATTCAATACTCATGAGATTCTTACACTTTCATATTTTAAAGGGCAACATGTAATGCTAAAATGGTTGCAAACTGCTTTATTCAAAACTATGATGGCTAACTCAGCTGGAGAATTTTGATCGTCTCCTAAGCGGATGTCTGCTGGCGTGAAGGACAAAGAAGTGACAATGCACATTCCAAGTGTCAAGTATTAAAATAAGTAGAATGTTGAGAAAAATCAATATGCCAGTATCCCATTGTTGACCAAGGTGCTAATGAAAACTGCTGTAACTAGGTTGGCCTGACTCCTCAATAATGCGCCACAGTGAACTGCCAACGCAGGTGATCTGCATAATCTTCTAACTCAGAAGCAAAAAGAGAGATGCCAATGTTCAGGTTTTACAACCAGTACTTTTAAATTATTAAAATAAGATGATTATTTATGTTTCATCATGCAGTTCCTACACAAACAAGCCATAAAACAATCTCTACAATCTTGCATCTTGTAAAGCTGGTACAAATTGGCACAAAATGGCTAATCTCCTGCAGTTTGGTTCACATTTAATCACATAAAATAGTATACCTTTTAGCCACGTTTGTCAAAAAGGCAGATGGGTACACCCGGGCAACATCCACAATAGTTTTTTCTGTGGTGCCAGGACTGAATAATAGGTATTAGTGCTATTTAAGAATATTAAAGTAGACATAACCAAAGTTAGTCACAGAAGTGTTACTGCATGACAATTGGAAATACATGAGAGAAACAAAATCTGTGAAAATGTTGTAGGTGGACACACATCCAATACTTTTTGCAATTACAAATTACTATGTGTACATTCACAGTGTAACTTGCCTATATATAATCACTATAATTAAATTAAAAAAGACAAAGAACTGCAGATGGAGGTCTGAAACAAAAACAGAAATTATTGGTAAAACTCAAATGGTCTGGCAGCAACTGTGGGAAGAAAGCAGAGTTAACATTGAGTCTGGTGACTCCTCAACTTCAGAACTGATGTTTTGTGATACTTCAGAAGTCTGTTTTTGCTTTAACATGCCCAAGGAAATATCAGCAAAAGCTCATATGCATGAACAAGTCTTTATTGTTAACACTGTAAAAGTGCCAGCATACTCTGTAGATTGGGTCACATATTTAAGCAATGCTGCTGTTCACACAAGGGACCAATTTAGAAACTACAACTACAATGTGTCTTTAAAAAAAAATAAAACTAAAGACAGTCGTTATGTTACTTTCATACTGGTCATAACCACAGGCTATTTCCAGTTTAAATGTTTGTTGTTTCTCAGAAAATCTTCAATGCCCTAAATTAATGTCATCTGTTGAAACATAGTGTCACATGACACACATTTCAGGGCAATTGTTGATATTTCATTGAGTTTCTAAGACAGTAATTTGGATGTAACATTTAATGTTTATGCATATTCAAGTCCCAATCCAGGGCATAAGCACAATAATCAGGTCTGATACTCCACTGCAGTACTGAGAGGCACTGCACTGTCCGAGAGCCTGCCTTTGTGACGTCCCCTCAAGTGGAAACAATCTAATAAACAAGTAACAAGGATGAGAACCTTTTGGCCAATAGTCTAGCTTGTAGCAAGCAGTGGAAGGGAGTTGTAGCCATTTTTTTCATTTAACAATAATTGCTGAACCTTTATAATGAAACTATTCAGTATACAATCCAGTAATATATCTTCAAATAAACAAAACATTTGTCTTGTCAGTCCTGGTGCAAAATTGGTAAACTTGTATTAGATAAAAATAGAACTAAAATATGGTGAGGTGTGGCCATTTCTCCTAGACATGATGGCAGTGAGGTGACCTTGAAGACCGTAGGAAGAATCAGAGATGAAAAGTTGAGTTATGCAAGGGCTGCCTGTACATTGAACCTAGCTGTTTGACACTGCTACTTTCATCTGTTCCTCAAATATTTGAGATAGCTTATCCTTCACAGTAATCTGTGGTAGGCTAAGCACTTTTCAGAACCAAATGTAATGGTCTTAAGCCCATTCATGCATTTGTGAAATATACATTGAAAACAATTTTATCAGGGTAATGATTATCCCACAGAATGGCTTTGATGTAACCTAATTTAGTATCAAGCTTTCATGGTAACCACACAACTACTATGTAGTAGCAATACACGTTGTATTCGCCACTAACAGTGCACGCCATTAACCTAAAAAGACACCTTATCACACAAATTAATAATGTCGTGTATGAATGTCAGTGCTGGTGTGATACTAGGTGTGTATGCCTAGCATCTCAAAGACTGGTAACTCGGATCAAACAGTATATCCCTTCAGCTGTTCACAGCAAGGTACTGACTGTACCCAAACAGCACACCTTTGCAAAAGTCAAGTGTTTAACATTAGATGCAATTTCACTTATGGATAAAGTTTGTTATCTAATGCTGAATATTCAAAAACTTAAACTGCCGACCAATTTGGGATTGTCAGGCTCGCAGCGTCGACATCTGTGTGTGAAATATTCCCTCTTAAGCTGCACGGCTGCTACTCCAACAATCCGTACACGCTAATGCATGCCAACACACTCATTTCAAGTTCCTCAAGCCACTGCTGTATACAGACTCTGGAGGTCTGCACTGCAGCTACAGAAATTATAGGGAACGTAGCCTGTGTGTACTGGAAGCTACATATATTAATATACAGGGCAATCATCTTTACAGAGATAACATGTATACACATGGCAACTATTTCAATTGAACAAAGTAGGGAACAGGTCTATTCTGGTTCATTTTTTAAGTATAATGCCTTGACCAATAAGAGTCAACCTATCTTGTTTCAAATGTAAACAAAGTTTAGCATTTAACTGCCAGACATGTTTAATTAGTGCATTCTCCATGGGAGCATCTCTACTGGAGTCTACCTAACAACCAATCATCACCCCTTTCATACTGAAAATGATTTTTTTCTTCCCTTTATATTGGTATTTCTGCACATGTTTCTTGTGAGAAAGCTTTGACAAGATGTGCCTTTTCACAGCAATTCTCAAATTCTTAAAGTCTTAGTGTATTTTTGTGTAAATAGTTTTCAGAACTACCCTAAAGTACACATATACTCACATAAATCGAGTGAAGTTATGTGGATGAGTGTGAATTTATCCATTTTGGTCCAAAATATAACAGGGCAGGTTATCATCTAATGGAGAGAAACTTCAAAATGCTTTGGTACAGAGGCATCTGAATGCCTTTGTGCACAAATCATACAAAGCTAATCTGCAGGTCCCCAGGGGTTCCTTCACGTCAAGCTCCCTAATTAAGTCTGCTTCGTTTCACATCAGTAAATCCAGAATTGTCTAGTGGGTTGTACTACAACGCGCTCTAATAAACCCTTTCAGATATTCCAAAAATTCCTTTTCTTGGGATCTGCCACCAACTGGATTTTCCCATTCCACCTGCATATTGAAATCTCCCATGATTATTTCTATGGTGCCTTTCTTACACGTGTTTAATATCTCCTGATT